CGTGAATCCACTGTGTTGAAATTTTTAACTCCCCATAACGCTAAATCAATGGGAGCCCTGAACTTGTTTCTCTGCAACGAGACGGTCCCATCTGGGGGTAATAGGAGACAATGACACCCAAAGTGTGTTGCTTATGTTCAGTCTACTCCGTTGTTTTGTTTGCTTCACACAGATAGGATGTCGGAAATGGCAACAGGGTTTTCAGTGCTGTGGTGGCGATCTCAGGGTATTCTGTCATGACTTTAATCCAGAACACCGACAGAGTTGTTGTCTCGAACATACTTTTAAGGCCGCCGTCATTTGCGATCTCCAGCAGTTGATCTTCTTCTTGCACAGACCTGCTGGATTCACCTGGTTTGTTGACAAATGGGTTGCGGATCCCTTCCTTGGCAGTTCGTGGGTCCTTTGTGGTTGGGAAGTAGCGCTCGAACTCTTTTAAAAGCAAAGACATGTGATCGTGCACCAGCTGGGAGAATGAAGACTCAGGCTCAGTCTCACCCAAAGTCTCATGTTTGAAACATGTCCAAAATGCCTCTGTTGACGCGTCGTCCCCACAAATCCAGTTTGGCTTTAAATGCAGCTACTTTATCTGCCAACTTGAAGACAGTTGTCATTTTCCCCTGAAGTGACAGATTGAGTTCATTGAGCAGGCTGAATATGTCGCACAAGTAAGCCAGTTTTGGCGCTCAAGTGACCGAGATGTAACCGAGAGAATGCGGTCATTTTTCAAAATAAAAGATCGTTCATACTCAGATAATAAATAAAACGGAAATAATTAATAATTTCTTGTACGGCCCGGTACCAATTGATCCACGGACCGGTACCGGTCCGCGGCCCGGGGGTTGGGGACCACTGCTTTAAATGGTTGATACATCAGCTGATTAACCCGAGTCGGCTTGGTCATTCGACTCATTGAGGTAAACCTCAGAGACAGGGTCTTGTCTTAAGATGACTGAACCACAAAAGTAACTGTGATGGGAACAGACACTCCATAGTCCCATCCACCTGTGCTGTTGCTTCCCTTCATACTTTTCCTGTGGATATTCTTGTGGCGTGCAACAAATTGTTCACAACCTTTTTAGGTGTATGTGGAAGAAATATGGCTGAGAAAATCAAAGTTTTTATAATGGCTGTAGCAAAGCATCTTTAGAGTCAGGCCTGCATGAAATTATGTAAATGTTAATTATTAATTAAAACATACACTCCAGCAATATCAGTACAAAGCTCAGTGAGTGTTGGATTACTCAGACCTTTGTGAGAACTGCCCTGTTTATCTTTACCTTTGTATGGTCAAATTGAGTCTCTTAATAAAAATCATTTGCTTCCCCCTCACACAAGGCCATTCCCCTGTCCACTGTTTAATGGCTCATTTGTTTGTAATCCCAGTTCCCCCGCTTGTATTCAAGCTTAATCTGGCCTATTACACTTAATGCAGGTTTGCACTTCAGCAAGAGGATGTGGGGGTGGGTGGGTGGTGTGGATGCAGACGTTAGATCATACCATCTGGAGCAAAAAGCACAAACACAATGAAGCAATCATGGGTATCCTTGTTTCCCATGGCTCAACAGATGTAAAGGAGGGAGGAAGATGTTAATAAAAAAGTGGCTTGTTGGTCACAGACTGAACCTCTAATTTGTTTAAGATAGAAAGAGATCATTAGGTGACTAAAATGACTTGGCGTTGGAGGGAGAGGACGAGAAACTTCACTTCTCCATACCAACAGTGTGAATTTCACTGGAGTGGTCTCTCACTGGTGTCAGACCTCTGAGAGGTGTGCATGATATGTGCCCCTGCAAAGAGGCCTGCGTACTGGCACCTTTGTGTGCACCAGTGTGTATTCTTGTATGTGTGTCCTGCTGTTTGTGTCACAGCTCATGTGTGTTTGCGTCTCGTCACTCTGGAGCCAGTCGTCCTCTCCTCTGACCCTGATCCCCGTCACCTGTCCCCTTAGATCACACACACACACACACACACACACACGCACACACACGCACACGCTGATGGGCATAGACACACACACAATTGCTCTGACCCTTTCCCGGAGTTGAAACCCAATCGCAGTTGCCAACCCTACAAAACTTGCCAGCACAGCAAGGTTTTGTTTTCTTTTTGTGGGTATAAGTCAGAAGACCTGCTGTCTGTTGTAACATGAACCAAAGCCATTTTACTCCATACCACCATATAAAGAGACTATTAAAAATATCTATAAATTACTGTCCTTGGCTGGAGCCATGCAAAGGACCACTCCAGTGATGTGTATTCACTAGTGGATTCAAATTAAAGTCACACAAAGAAGCAGGAGTAAAACATGAAACCCAACATGAATGCCTTTAAAAAGAAATGTGTGTGGGTTATGACTGGCTACAGTGTGAAACATTAACCAAAGTAAAACAGTGACAGTAGGAAAATCAAGACGAACCTCACTGTGCTTACTTCTCCATCTGTACTTTGACAGTACAAAAGAGAGCCTGTGCTATCAGTCTGTCTGCACAGATTCAGTTTTTGGTAGTGGCTCTTATTGGCATGTGGACATGTGCACATACTCAAATATTAAGGAGCAAATAAAAGATACTTTTTTTGGATGTTGCAAGGAGTTATTAAAACACTGGAACAAATCCATCCAAATGCAAGTTTAATTAAAAAAAAACTGAGAAGAAAATGTCTCGTTTTCCACACACCTCCACTAAAACAGTTTGCTTTCTCCAAAATGCTGTCAGATGATCTTACTGGGCAACCAGCAGTAATTGCTTTAGATTCATTTTCAAAAGCTTTATTTTAAGTCTATCGAGTTCATGTTTTTCTAACATACCGTAATCCTGTCCACTTGTGTTTCATTCACCTGTTTAAATCTCTCCAGAAACCGGGGAGCATCCTGATCAGTATCAGTTGTCTGTTGTTTCTTCATCTTGCCACCAGATTATAATGCAGATTGTTCCTACCAGCCGTGTGGAAGTGCAGCAGTAGCTCTGTATACCAAATCTGTGCTGACAGTGTCTGTTTAATAAAAAGTGAAGCAGTGAACCAGTATGACCTGGACACCTCAGAGTCTAAGGTGTCCCGGAACTGACCTGGGTGCTTGGGAGATTCACTGACACAGCATCTGATGCTAAAACCAGAGTCTGAATGAGATTATGCATGTTACTGTAAGATCATTATTCTCAGCTTTTTCTGACTTGTATCACTTATGTGGTTGAATGAAACACCACTGAACTCCTGAAACATAGAAGTGGGACAGAGATGAAATGAAAGTCTTTGTTAAAACCATATCATTCTTATTGGATGTCCCATACATACAAAATGAACAGGACAGTTGGAATAACAGCACTTCATTTTTGCTCCATCACATTTTTCTTGCCACTTTCTATTGCCCCATGTCTTCTGCTTACACACTGCATTTTCTCTTCCCCAGGACTCAAAGCCATCTGGCCGCTCCAGCATGCCGCGATGTCGGAACTCGGTCGCCACAACCACATCAGACGACCAGCCGCACATTGGTAACTATCGGTTGCTGAAAACCATCGGCAAAGGCAACTTCGCCAAGGTCAAACTGGCACGACATGTCCTTACCGGAAAAGAGGTAGGCGCGCGCACACTCCCGCTCGCACACACTGGACTGAAAGCTTTAATCTTTTCCTTTGATTCCTCTTACAGAGTCACCCTGACTTTCTGAGCTTTAGTTCTTTATTTTTAGCCTCTTTAGTCACATTCTGGAGAAATTCCTTTTTATTGGCTCTTAACTAGAGACTGGCTTCTCGAATACCAAATGCCAGCAATGCTGAGAAAACCTTTTTAAGGAAGAAGAGAGATGGCAAAGTAAGTAAATCTAACTCCTAACTACCTTGACTGTTTGGCTTAAAACAAAGTGACAAACTCAATTTGTTAGGTCTGATTTAAGAGACAAGTGGACTACATTTTCAGTAGGTGACCATTTAATCACCAAAACTATTTAGAATACAAAAGAAGCTTCAGATGTTTTTAATTAGCCAAGATGGCAAGAAGTAGAGAAACACTGTAAATGTTTATCTGATGTCTAAATGTTAATCTTCCTTCTTGGCTACTGAGGATAGGGAGGGTTCGTGCTGTGATCCACAGTGGGTCTGGTCTGGTTTGAGGCTCGCATGCTTTGGAGACGGCGCATCTGCTGCAGGAGATTAGCTCACCATTGTCAGATTGAATAGAGCTGGCTAAATGTCGACCAGCTTACTGTGAATTCCAGATGTGATGTAACATAACGGTGTGTCCCTTTAAGGGAAAAGCTGTGTCTGCATTGAGCCCATGCTGAGCTCTGTCTGAGGCCCAGTCAAGTCAACTCTGTCTGTGTGAGAGAGAAGGCGATGGGTGCGTGGGCGGGCTCTGTCAATGTGTGGCAGCTCTGTGCCTGGCACCCTGATAACAGTCCATGTGACTCGCTGGCACACACACACGCACACATACACACAAAAACAAGGCAGAGTCAAGAGGGCATAAAGAGTCAGACAGACAAGCATAACCAGAAAGAGGAGTGGAGGAAAGGAGTGAGCTGACAGTGAATGACAGAAATGGGAGAGAGAAGTAGACCTCCCTTTGGTGTGTGTGTGTGATTATTCTTTGTTTTATCACCTTTTCTCTATATGTCCTCTTTCCTCTTGCTCTGTTTTATTCATTCTTTCTCCATTTCTCACTTTGTATCTCTCCCATCTGTCTAGTTCTGCATTTTTATTTTCTCTGCATCTCTTATCTCTCTCTGTTTCCATTGCTCTCTTTTGACCTTGTTGGTGACTTCTGTTGGATTATGAACTATAGACCTCATCGTGGCCTGTGTACAAGCTATACTTCAGCTCTTCAAGTGTCTGTATTCTGCACTATTATGCAACTGTCTCCTGCTGTGATTGTGTTTATCACTTAATACTTAGAGATTGTATCACTGTATGTGTGTGATCCATCCACAGAGATGGCAGTGTCTGTGTGTGTTTGTGCTGTGCTCACAGGCTGTGACTATGCAGGTTTGCGTGAGCGAGATGCGTCAAACCCACTGTAACAAGTGTAATAACTGAGTGAATGTGTAATAATAAATTAACCTGTTCTTGTTTTGCTTCTAGGTGGCTGTAAAGATCATTGATAAGACACAGCTCAACTCCTCCAGTTTGCAGAAGGTGGGTCTCTCTCTCTCTCTCTCAGGAACAAGTTTCAAGCCTCAGTCCTTCTCCTTTTTCTCAGATGTTACTCTGTGTCTTTCTCATTTGTCTGTTTCTCTTTTTCTGTCTCTTCCTTCTGAAGTGGTTTAGTTTTCAGAGAGTTTTAATTACAGGAAACAAGCTGCAATTATTTCCTTTGAGCGTGACAGGGTGGGGTCTGTCCGCTTACACACACACTCTCTCTCTCTCTCTCTAACCATGTGCCTGCACACTGAACACATACACCAAACACTTGAGCATCCACAGGGCAAAGACACTGACAGGGCCAACACATACAGTCATGGTCAAAAATATTGGCACCCATGCATTTCTGTCAGATTAGCATTTTTTCCTCAGCTTTTTTTGTGTTGTTCCAATGCAAACAAAAGAAATAAACATGAGACTACCAAAGAATTTGTGAGCAATTGCCTGGGAAAAGTGGTGTGTCATCCAAAAGAAATGCAGGGGTGCCCAGAATTTTGACCATGACTATAAATCCAGTGATGAATGCTAACACTCACACATCCTTACGTCCCACATCAGGAAGCATCCAAATGTAAGCCACGGACGCTATGACCAGAATTAGCAGAGACTCTTGATGTTATATCTGATCAGGTCTTAAACTTTTTTTTTTTTCTTGCTGTCAACAAATCCAGCATAAAGACCAAAACCACCCAGGTGTTAGTCCAGTGCCTACACAGGAAATCAGTGGAGGTCACCAAGCGAAATGTATTATTTGTTTAGTACTTGTTATAGACGTTTTCTTCTTTAAGGGTAGCAAGAAAAATGAAGAACGTCACTGGTCCTATCTTTTTATCCAGGCTTGTAGCTGTACAAAAATAAGTTTTGCACTTTGGGTTGTTTCTAAATTTAATAGTTGTGAACTGGCAAGTTTCTATAGCTACAGTATTTTCACATTTCCTACTGAAGTGATTACAAAAATGTCCCCTCTCCCAGTGACTTAGATTGATTTTTTTTTTTTCATGGATGTGTGAACAGCCCTAGTCCGATTTATTTGTTTATTTTTTTTAAAGTTTGATCTGGGCCACTTCAGTATGTGGTCCTAGAGCCGATTCATATCTAACTATACGACACCGCTGTCAGAACGGAATTCACTTGGGGGTTTTCAGTGTTTCACTACTCTGTGCATGTGCTTGTCGTCACCCCATAGCATTAGTATCTCAGAGACTGGCAAAAATGTATATTATTAACAATAGCAACAGGGTTCAGAGGAGAGATGAGGCAATTTCACTTTTGTTGAACATTAATGGAGAAACTTTTGTTGCTGGAGGGTACGTGTCTTAACTTGTCTCACAAATGATATTATTTTTGTACAATCATGGCTCATATTTTATTTAAATCTGTGCACAGCTTAGGACTTCAACAGTGCTCGCATTAGTGCTGGATACATGTCACAAACAAACATGAATGTGAACCATTGACACAAAAATGTCAGATCTGACAAAAAAAATCAGAACTGAGCATTAAGGCCTGTAATGTGAATGTAGCCTGTCTGTCTGCAGTGTGATTTTGGTAAATTGACACCAAAAACATCCCATTTAGTTTGATCTTATCTGCTTATTGAGCAGAAATAAATTCCTTATGAATGAAAAGGGTCTCATCAAGCTTTTACCACAGACCTAGTATGGCTGGCATTGGGGAAGACTTTGGTTCAGTTTGTACTTTGTACCCAGTACTGTAAAATTTACCAGCAGCTGAAGGCAAAACAAACTTTTCATTGTTTGTTTTACTGTGACATCCTAAATTGCAGCAGACCATGGATTTATATGGGCACTGCCTGCATATCTGCCATGATGTCATCAGTAGCCATGTTTGTTTCTGCTTTTCCTCCTAGTAATTTGACCTTCATGCTCATAAACAGGAAGTCAAAACTGCCAGTGGAGAAGTGTGCCAGTCTCATTAAGAGCTACAATACGCACTTGATTGCACTGATTGCCTCAGAACAGTGTTTTATAGGGTTTCAAGTTGTTCTAGAGAAAACTTTTTTTTTTAAACCAGCATTTTTAGCCGTGCGTGTAACTGCCAACACCTGCACCTTGTGTCTGATAGTGTATTTGACACAGCACCCTGTGTGTCTTGTTTCCTGCAGCTCTTCCGGGAGGTGAGAATCATGAAGATGTTGAATCACCCCAACATAGGTGAGTCATGCTTAAAGTACTGGTCTCCACTCTGTCATCACTCACTGAGAACCAGACCTCATTGATTATTTAAGGTCATGGATTATAGTCAAAAGTTAATAATCCTTTTGGAATAATCCTCATCTTTTTGTTATTCATCTCCCCCCCCCACTGCTCCTCCCTTTATATTTTATCTCTCTTGCACCCGCTGCTTTACCTGTCCCTCCCCCTCCACTCCTCTGCCTTTGCCTTTCACTCTCCACCTCCAGTCAAGCTCTTTGAGGTGATAGAGACAGAGAAGACTTTGTACCTGGTAATGGAGTACGCTAGTGGAGGTAAGTGCGTGCAACTGGGAAATCATTCCCTCTGAGGTTAGCACACAGTATGTTAGCATCAAATGGTTCCCAGCAAACCTCTCCTTTTGAATGTACAGCCTCTCCAGTCTTTTGAAAATAATTTGTTCATGGAGTTGTTTTCAAAAATATCCTGTATTTTATTATTTTATTATGCTTATTGCCCAGCTCCATCCTGTTTACATGGAAAATTGTTGATATTTTAGGTCATTACAAATCTTAGCATACCTCACTATCGGCCCCTTTTCAGTCTTTTGCACTTAATACCTGATCTAGATGCAGATGAAAAGTGAAATTACAGGACACTAAGTCTGTTACACTGTTAGTACTTTAACAGTTCAGTACTTGTTTAGCCTCAGAGCTTAGGAGTGTGGAAAAACAACAATGACCATTTTGGAGTATTTTTAGTTTAATTAAACCAGTAAAACTGACCAGCTTTAGCTCTCTTTGCCCATACTTCTGTTATTGAAGGACAGTACTTTGTTCAGTGTCCCACTGAGCCAGTCCTTTTGCTTTATGGAGACAAGTATCAAGGTCCAGCCCTAAATTGGCTCTCCTCTTCCTTTTCTCGTCTCTCAGGAGAGGTCTTTGATTATTTGGTGGCTCATGGCAGGATGAAAGAGAAAGAAGCCCGCGCCAAATTCAGACAGGTATGTATATGCTTGAGAAATGTATGCAAGTTAAGCAAATACTCCATGTACTGTCAGTGGGTTTTAAATGTCACTGAGATTAGGTGTACTGTCTGTGCACATTACATAGAGATAGTCCACTGTCTTTGAGTAGTGACAGGTAGGATTGTTTGTGCTGTTTAATTTATAATTCAAAAAATGTACTGTTTACCTCATATAAAGCATTAATAGTGACAACTTTATAACGTATATTTTATGTTTTTAATAACTGATTATTGATCATTAAAAAGTAAGGAGTTAAGGGAAATGCACAGATTTTTCATCCCTCGTACTTGTTGTAATTGCTTCCTGGTAAAATCCTAACGAAGAGCTCGGAGTGTCTCCTCCTTCGTTGTCTAGTCGTGTCAGCCCTGTCCATCTTGTCATCTGTGCTCTCCCTCTCTCTCTAACCCACTTTCTCACTCTCCAGATTGTGTCAGCAGTGCAGTATTGCCATCAGAAGTGTATAGTACACAGAGACCTCAAGGTGAGAACACACACATTATTGAATTAAAATGAGTGTCAGCATGCTCTTTCATCTGCTCTTTCATTTTGTTTTTTTGCCACTTCTCTACATTAATCATCGTATGATTAGAATTTTTTTTGAGGTGACCCCCCGATGGCCAGACAACACTCCCTCTTCTATTGCTGAGGCTTTAGCATGTATACCCATGCGTCCATACACCCACACTTGTTGTGCCTGTATTTCTTTGCTGTTCTCCTATTGGGTCCTTCCCTCCCTCTGACTTTTCATTTATTCTGTGTCCAGTCTTTGATTCACTCTTTACTGTTGTGATAAATTTAATACTGCCCACAGTTACAAATCTAATGCTTCATTGTTTTATGCAGAATTGTAAATCCTCTTATTGTGTCAACAGGCAGACCTGTACACAAGACATTATCATGATTACTGTTACAGTAAACATACAGGAACTTCTCATCTCAAAGTTGTTTTCCCATAACTTGTTATTTTTGGCTTTTTTAATAAAACATTTTCATTTTCAAAGTCATGAATGCTTTCTTTCCTTTCAGAAGGTAACGTAGGTGGTTACAAAAAAGGCAACATGGGAAATCAGAGATTTCTGGAGGACACACAGTTCTCATTATTGTAATGCGCACCATCCTGCATATTATCCTAATCACTCCTGATCTGGTGATTACAATGTGAAATCCAACACAAGCAGGTCCTTCACTGCAGGAACAAATTTTATGAGCCTGCATTTCACAGCAAGACAAATTATTCTGTTTGGGTCCCAGAGTTGCAACAGTAAGATTTATAGTGTTGTAAATACTACAGTTGTGGCTCATTTTCTTAAAAAAAAAGCCACATTAAAGATTTCAATTTTGTTAAGTATTAATGTTAAGTTATATCTGTCAATAAAAAATAAGAAGCCAGTGTTTATTTCTTAGATCAGAGCCTACAGATGATGTCAGTGTTGTATTTAATGTGCGCTCACATTCATATACACACACAGAAGTGGCAGAGTATTCAGAGCTAGTGAAAAGGAGAGCGCACCTGTTGCTAAGCAACCCCAGCCTCATTGCTCACAGGCTCACTTTAGACTTACAGATACACTTGCACACACACCGGAATAAACTGTGGTAGCTCACTTTGCCCATTGTGTGCTACTCGTAGGCCTCAGGTCATTACTCTGAAAACCGCCTCTCTCACCCAGAGAGAGGTTTTTCACACAGCTGTCTAGTACAAGGTGGTATGTGTCATCTTCAAACTCATTAGCATGTCAGAGAAAGTCTTTGTTACGCTGACAGTGGATGAGAGGGCGGCCTCTTTGCTAAAAGCTCTTTTCAGTCGTACAAGCACCGACCCTTCCTATGGAAGGAGGAACTTTTCTGTATGTTCGGAATATCATGTTACCACGTTACAAAAATTAGTATTTTATGTCATGGTACATTTAGTATTAAGAAAATAATACTGCCATGTGTAATACTCTTCTTTTTCTCCAGAAATATTATCATGTTTTAGGTTTGTTTTCCCTCTGTGTCCTCTACATACATGATCATTATGTCTTTCCATCTGTTGCTGTCCTCCCTCTCCCACACTGTCCACCTGCAGGCAGAGAACCTGCTGCTGGATGCCGACATGAACATTAAGATAGCTGACTTTGGCTTCAGTAATGAATTCACTTTGGGGAACAAGCTGGACACGTTCTGTGGCTCCCCGCCCTATGCAGCCCCGGAGCTCTTCCAGGGCAAGAAGTACGACGGCCCAGAGGTGGACGTCTGGAGCCTGGGGGTGATCCTCTACACACTGGTCAGCGGCTCGCTGCCCTTCGATGGCCAGAACCTCAAGGTCAGGAAGAGGAGATAGTGTGTTTATGTGCATTACATAAGCAGATGTCGGTATTCCGTGTGTATTTGTAGTATTTGTTATGATGGTTTCATTCCCTCTGTCTTACAGAATGCAGGAGCTAAATTAGAGAGTGAATGTGTAAATTATTATGTTGGAAGTACTTTGTTTTCCAATGAGGTTTTGGTGGTGAGATGCGCTAAAGCCTGGTACTTTGTTCCGTTTTCAAACAAAAGAAATTTAATGCTTTCAGAGAACTAGAACTATTCACACTACCTATGACACTGAGCATTCAGTCACTACCCACATGACTCATTCTGGAAGTGCAGACACATTTTGGGTGGGCGATATGACATTGAATATGATGATATTGATAATAACATGCTTGTGAACAGTCATCTAGGCTTACTGAATATGCTCCTGCCGTGTGGTGTTTTTTTAAAGACCTATATTGCTGGTTTTACTTTTTCATAAATAGGACTTTCACTGTCTTTTTCTCCGCTGTGCTGTGCTGGGTTGTAGATGTAATGAAATGCGTTTCCTTTTTAAATATGACAAACTGATGCGCTGACAAAGTGCCCAGTGTACAATAAAGATTTGTGAATGTTGCAGCACTTCAAAAGATTAATCTGACACTTTGATTCACAGTTTGATCAATTAACAATTTTTTTTTTTAAATGCTAATTCAACACCTGATGGTATATGAGCCATGAAAGCCTGTTTTCTTCCGCAACACAGCTCAGCAGTTCCGGTTTCATTCAGCTCTCTATAGAGATGGTGCGAAAGATATCAACATCAAAACTGTGAAAGAAACCATGTGTTCAGAGGTGGATATTTTGGCTCTGCTGCTGACTTTTCATGCCCTTTTCCTTCTCCAGGAACTGAGGGAGCGTGTGTTGCGTGGTAAATACAGAATTCCCTTCTACATGTCCACTGACTGTGAGAACTTGCTCAAGAAATTCCTCATCCTGAACCCCTCCAAAAGAGGCAGCCTTGAGGTACACTACACTTCATTGACTTGTTAACATAAAAAACAAAGTAAAGACAAGTGCTAAAAATGTTTATATTTGTTTGTCTGTCTATATCCATTTATGTATGCAGTTGAACAGTACTTTCAGTCCCTTTAATTTTATAAAACATGTAGACATCTTAAATGTACCGTGTCGTTAGTCTGACAATCTCTCTCTTTGCTAATATAATGGTGTGTGTAGCACACACAGTACTGTACTGTTTACATCAACTTGTTTCACCATCTATATGTGAGTTTGTTGCTGAGGTGTAAAGTAATTTTTAAAGGCATAGTAAATACTTGTTACCTTGGGATTTACAGTCTGAGTTGCAAAATTTGGTTGCAGTAAAGGCAGATGAATAACACCAGGAAAACAAAAACCAAGGTGTTACTGATAAAATCCCGTGTAATCTTTTCTTCTTAATCTGTCTTTATTTGCTTGACCTGATAAATGTTAAAGCAGCACAGCAAAGAAGACTCAAGCGTTTGTTAGAATTCAGTCATGTGACTGGTTCATTTACACCTGCTGCAGAATTTCTGACAGTGTTTAAAACACAAGCATGTCACTCTGAGACTGAATCAGTTTGCATCAGAAGAAACAATAAACAGGTTAATCTTCTTGAAACAGCCTATGGATCAATACAATGCACTGTCATTTAACACCGCATTCATCATCTGTGTTTTTCTGACTGAGAACACACTTGAATAAAAGATGGCCTATCTTGAAGGTGAGGACACACTGCTGCGCTGATGATGAATGGTATTTGGACACAACTGATCGGACCCAGTTGGATCAGTTGTTGACAGTTGGCAGATAGAAAAAGACAAGAAAAAGTAATGGCACTCTTTGCAGTTTTCTGCATAAATTGGTCATGAAATGTGATCTGATCTTCACCAAAAGTCACAAACATCAACAAAATATTTCCAGGCTGATAAAACAAACTGTCATGATCATTTATGTCTTTATTGAACACACCCATTAAACATGCAAAGTGATGGTGAAAAAGTGATGGCAACACAAGGCTTCTTATGTCGCTAAAGTTCAGCTGGAGTCAGGTGTTAGCAAACCTGGAGTCCAATCAATGAAATGAGAATGGAGGTGTGGTTTAGAACTGCCTGGACTTATAAAAACACTCAAACAGCATCCGTGTGCTATTCACAAGCAGCATCAGCTGATGTGAGCCATCCCTCACACAACAGAGATCGCACAAGACCTACGATCAAGGGATGCTGATTTGCATGTAGCTGGAAAGGGCTAGAGTCATTTCAAAGACTGTAGATACCACCGGTCCACAGTTTGACATATTGTCCGTAAATGGAGATGATTCACCAGAGCCTGTGAGCATATGAACTCTTTAATTAGACCCATTAATTTGTTTAATTTTATTATTTTTGTGTTATATTCCTTGTTACATAGGCCTCACTGTAATTTGAAAAAAAAAAAATTTTTTTTTGGGGAAAAAAGTAGTCATTGTTCTTTGGGATGTAAGGCTACGGTTTAAGCTAAAAGTGAAATGCATGCAGATATTATTTTTTCCCTTTTGTGGAGTGAGTGGGTGCGATTTGAGTTGAACACTGAGCGGTAATGAGCGGAGTGGGGCCTGGTGCGGCTTTGAGCAGGGGAGCGTAGCAGGCGCACAGCTCTAAGTGAGGAACGGAAATTCTCACCGCTCCACTCTGCTCATTTGAGCTCTCTATAGAAGTGGGCGCCCAGCCAAGATCACTCCGAAGACACAACGCAGAATGGTCAATGAGGTAAAACAGAGCCCTAGAGTAACAGCTAAAGATTTGAAGGATTCATTGGAGTTGGTTAACCATACGCAAAATATTGAACAGGCATAGTATCCATGGCAGGACACCACAGAGGAAGCCATTGCTCTCCAAAACCAACACTGCAGCATGCCTGAAGTTTGCCAAAGACCATCTTGACACTCCACAGCACTACTGGGAGAATGTCCTGTGGACAGATGGAACGAAGATGTAAAAAGAGAACTGTGTACTGACATGAAAACATCATCCCAACAGTGAAGTACGGTGGTGGGAGCATCATGATGTGGGGCTGCTTTGCTGCCTCTGGACCTGGACCACTTGCCTTGGTGGAAAGGAAAATGAGTTCCCAAGTTTGTCCAGGTATCCTACAGGATGATGTCAGGGTGGCTGAAGCTCAGAACAAGCTGGTTGATGCAGCAGGTCAATTACCCTAAGCATTGATGTAAATCTACTACAGAATGGCTAGATAATGGATGGGTGCATGAGAGTTCGATCAGTCCTTAAGTGTGCGCTACTTACTGACTGTCTAGGACTAAAATCTGCTTAAGTTGCTGGAAACAGTAATCAAGTGTGGCTTGTCCAGTGTTAGAAGGTTTTAGCCTGTCATCAAGTGTGTGCCCAGCTTAAGGGGTTTATCCCAAAAGTTTGAAATAAATTCAGTGTTGAAAATGGATACACCTGGCTACTGTGAAGTAGAAAATCCTAATGGAGCCATAAATAAAATAATAGTGTAAACAGTAACCTGCCCCCCCTGCTATATGTCTTTTTATCCTCTGGCATCTCATGTCTCTTGGCATCTGTCTGTTTGGCTTGCTCTCCCAGCAGCAGATAATGAGGGACCGGTGGATGAATGTGGGCTATGAGGAGGACGAGCTCAAACCTTACATCGAACCCCAGCCAGATTACAAGGACCCCAGGAGGACAGGTAGGCACAGAAAGGATACATTTGTTCCTCTCTTTTTCTGCACACTTGAGTACAGATCTTTTTCTTTTTCCTCTACTCGCGCATGAGGATGATTTATCTTCTGTAGAATTATGGACCTAGAGTAAGCTCAGCAGTCTAAATAAAGTGTTTTTTTGCCATATGTGTACAGACATCATGCTACAGATGGGATTCTCTCAAGAGGAGATCCAGGACTCGCTGGTGAACCAGAAGTACAATGATGTGATGGCTGCATATTTGCTACTGGACTATAGGAACTCTGAGGTGCACTGCTTCTCATACCTTTAACCACTTCATTTTAGATAGTTTTACTGGTTTATTAGAGGTCTCTCTACGCTGATGTTACACACTAACCAGTCAAACTAACCAACTTTATTACTGTTATATGGAAGAAAATGTTGGGCTTCATTTGTCTTGCATTTAAGCCATCAGAACACACAAGTTGCATTCTGAAGCTGATCATACTTTATGTTCAAAACACTTCAGCATTCATATGCAAAGTACCTTTTATGTAAAAGCACTATTTTTAGTCCTATGTTGTTGCTACACTTGTATTAAGAGATGTTTTTTTTTTCTTTTTCTCCCTCAGCTGGATGAAGGCTGCATCAGGCCCCGACCAGGAAGTGATGTAAGCAACATAAACGCTCCCTCCCCGCCTCATAAGGTACAATGAGAACACAGACTTTTATGCTGACATGTAATAAGGTGTCCCAAGTCCTGAAAAGAACATGAGTACACTTGGTCCTGACTGAAACACACTGTTGGAAACTGCTTTGATATCGTGACTTTTGAGGCTTTGGGTTTTAGACTAACAATTGTGAGAACAAATCCCCCAGTGTTACAGCCTCTCTGCTAGCCTACTTACACCCCAGTGTGATTGATTACATTCTGGGACACGTGCAAAGCCACACTGACCTGTGTCCATGTTCCCATCTCCAAGGTACAGCGCAGCGTGTCATCCAACCAGAAGCCTCAGAACCGCAGGACCACCGACCAGGGTGAGCTTGGTGTGTGCCGGAGGGGAAGTGGGTGAAGCTGTGTGGCAGAGAGGGAAACCTGGAAGAAGCAGGCAGCGATTAGATTATGATGACTGTGTGCCTGGAGCTCAGGGACAGAACCACAGTGCCAGCAGATCTAAAACATGAAGAAAACCCCTTATTATTGCTTATTCTAGCTTAAAAATTAACAGATATAATTTTACTCCTGGTGTAGGCTAGGATGGTCTCTAGTGCTGCCACAGTGAAGCATGTGGAAAAAAATTAATAAAAAATGAAAAGGCCCTAATAGGGAAGAAATGACTTTTAAAATAGGTTTTGAAAGTATTGCCTTATTTTTTCCAATAAGCCTTGCATTTAGTTTGTGGCCAGCTGTAGCCATGTTGTGAAAAAAGGAGAGGACAGAAAAGAGAGAGATGTAGAGCACCTTAGGAGAAGGTGATTTCTGTTAGAACAGAATGATGAGCAGCAGCAGTGTGGCAGAGCAGGAGATGACAGGGATGTCACAGGTTTGAACACAGCAAATGATGGGTTTTTTGATGTACTTCCTCTTGTCTTCCCCCCCCCCCAGGCTCCTCCTACTCGAAGAGAGGGGGTCAAGCAGACAACCGGACTGCAGTGGAGGATTCTGGGAGGAAGGGTTCAGGCAGCTCCACTACCAAGGTGCCGGCCAGCCCTCTGGTCTCCTCTGACCGCAAGAAGAGCGCCACACCCTCCACTGTGAGACCAAACAGCCGAACTGCTTGCACAACATTTTTTTAAACACTGAAGTTCAAAAATAAATCAGAATGACTTAATCAGTACATTCTGCTATACGTTTCACTTCATCACACAGACCTTGACATAGACAAACGAATAGTGGTTTTGGTGAATGAACAGATTTCCCTTTGTGTTAGTTGCAAAAAATATGTTTTAAAGTTTTACAGAAATTCAAAAGCACATGGAAAGTCATTGTGGCTTTGCAGAGTAAGCTAGCATCAGCCATATTTTATTTTATACTATGGTCCAAAGACCAGAGCAGATGCTAGTTACTAATTAAGCTTATTAACAGAAATGACCATGAAGGTCTTCTTATCTGCTATAAGAAAGGGAACGTGTACATCCTGTTATCTAGGTGCTCGTTTGCCATCTGTTTGCAGTGTTTGGCCTTTGTGTGTCTTTTTGTGTTAAAGCTGCATTATAGTGAAATAATACCATTTTCTGAACTTATTAGATTTGTCGTTCTAAAGTGCATTAGTAGTAAATACCCAAAACATTGTCAGCATTGTTTTTATCTTGGGTTTTGAAGCAAAGCTATAGGCATTTTCCACAGCAGAGATATTGACCTGTCATAGTAAGAAGAGCTTAGCTGTTACTAGTATAAACAGTGTGCCACTTCCATTTAAATGTCAGGAATCCATGACAGTCTGACACCATGTCCAATACTAGGGCCCTGAAAAACGGAAGTTATTGATCTTTTTTTTAAAACACCTGTGCTTTTCCTATTGTGACATGTCAAAGTGTCAGCTAGATTTATTGTCTGCTCTGTCAGCACCAGGAGAAGCCCCCAAGGCTGCAGCATTGACATACTCATTCAACAAATGCTTGTCCAACAAAGTAATACGAAATAGTTGAAAATACAAGGTTTACCGTGTGTCATACCAGTCTTGATTTTGTTTAGCATTTCAATGTTTGCACCAGTGTCCTTCTAACACATCAGATGTGACACCTACCAACAAATGTTTTACAATATAAAGATTCACCTTTGATGTTTAGAATGGGTATTTGTTTTGAGCTGAAATGGTCCCATAATTTTGGGGAGAATGCATGAATATGTGCACTGTGATTTATTTATTTTTTTGGCTTAAGGTTCCTGATTACACCTTTCTGTGGGTGTGTACAGACTGTGGTTGTTTGACCTTTTTCTCACTCTCCTGTTAGTGTTGTTGCACCTGTTAGGGCAGGACAACTTAGACTATTATTAATTCTGTTAGTATGTAAACCTTGGTGGCATCATGTTAAATCCCTTTAAAGCTGCCCCACCTCAGCCTGAACAGAGGGCTGATCTGTCAGGGTAATGGAAAACACCCATGTGGGTGTGCATGGGCTTTAAATGATAGTTCAAGAATAATAAGATAAAAATTAAAGCCTTTTGTATTTGTATGATTGTGCAGGTAATTCTGACAAGAAATGGGTTTATTACAGCAAATACTCTTGAGGCATAATTCGGTGAAGATGTAATTAAAGTCACTCACCCTTGCTGATCGCTCAGTACTCTTTCAGGAATTTTTGTTCACATTTAATGATGTTTGTTCACCTCTTTTGACTGGTCTGCTCTGACACTGTCATGTCTCTGTCCTGATCTCTGTTTTGTGAAACTTCTTCTCTCCCTTCAGAATAGCATTCTGTCCACTGGTACCGGCCGCAGTCGGAACTCTCCACTGACTGAGAGAGCAACACTTGGCCAAGGCATCCAGAATGGCAAGGACAGGTACATATACACAAGCACACGCAAACACATCATGTAAAAAGATAGATATAATCAGAAGACAAGGGCAAGTATACCCACTTAAAATCGTTCTCACTTATACGCTTTGTGTCGTCATTGGCAACCATCTAGTTGCTGTGAGGAAGCACCGCTTCCTCCCTAACATACACTTAATACAAACACACTCACTCGTGAATGCTTGTGAATGAAGCAGCCCCACAGCTGTCTCAGTGACTGAATCCCAGGCCTTGGCCGGTTCTCTCCAGAGCTGTGCCAGCTGGCTCAGGAAGGCCCACAGGGTGGGTGAAGCCCTCCTGATCAAGGAAGTCAGACCCTCTTGGGAATTTAGGCCAAACCTCCAGCAGATTACAGATTACCCGAGACGGTCTGATGGAGGCCTGCCAGTCATAGCAGAGCAGGCTTCGATGGACATGCATACCTACATTCACACATGTAGAGTATGACACACGACGGCCCAAATTTGTTCTTCAAACTCTAGCCATCTTTCTATTTTTTTATGTTAATGAAATGTACTGCTTTCCATTCTCATAAAAATGAACTTTACATCCCCTGATGTTGCCGTTAATTAAACAGGAGGTTTTTTATTGAGAATCAAATTAGGGTCAGGGCTTTAGCAAAAAAAGCAAAAATCTGAATCTCTCTCTCTCTCTTTCTCTTTTGGAGTAAATACAACGTGAGCTCCCTCCCATTCTCATTATATCTTAAATCATTCCAGCTCTGCTTTCTTCTTCAAACACATGAAACCATTTCGAGATTGACAAAACTACTGTGTGATTTGTTCCTGTTGCTTGATGTGAATTTTATACGTGAATTATAAGGCCATGAAAATGGGAATTTTAACTGTCCGTTAACGTCGAGCGTTACTTTCTGGCGTTGAATCCACCTCGTACGCATTCACACATACAACAACGCACACATCGCTCATGCTTAACCAGCCATATGCTTTGTGGGCCTTTTCTTAAGCATTAAACATTAAGCCAGACCATAATCCTAACTAAAATGTTTGTTGTCATTACTGCTTTATTACTTGTTCATGTATCAGTCTCACATGACCCCCTTGTTCCCAAAATAGCATCCTGCCTAAAACATAGTAAAATAATTGAATTGAATCTCTGTAAAGTCTGATACATGATTCCTAAGCTCTGCATGGTAATGAAGGGGTCATTTGAGACGGTGATGCCTATTGTTTTACTACTGTGGGTCTGTAGGCTCCACTAGTGGTTGTCATCTGCTTTGATTTTCAAGGTTGTTCATTATTAATGCTTTGAAGTTGGTGCTTTTATATTTGTTACACCCTCCCCCTCCCCAATTATTCTTTTGTTCTATTTCTTTCCTAATTTTTTCTTTTATTTGAGCTCATGTCCTTATGGATCCTGTTCACTCACTTTTTCTTGGTACCTCCTTTTTTTTGTTTGTTTTTATATTAATCTTTCTTCTCTCTCTTTCTCTCTAAGGAGATTGGGAAGACTTGTGATGGAATATTAACTCCTAGTGGCGCTATATGGCCTGTCTGCCTCCTAATAGGCTTACACATACACACACTCACACTGAGCCTCTAAACATTCAAACTCACACACAAGCTCAAAAACATTTCATACACTAGGCTGTCCAGCGAATGTAGTTATTTTTCCATCACTAGCCAGACTAATCCCTGTCAGAAAGAGTGAACGTCTCTTTCAACAGCATGTTGATTTTCTGTATAATTAGAAGCAGTTTTGTTGGCCTCTCTCTCTCTCCCTCTCTCTCTTTCTCTCTCTCTCTCATGGCTCATTCCTCTGCTGCCTGTTTCTAATTGTGGACAAAGTTAGAGGTGTCAGTAACGTGTAGAGGTTTGCAGATTAAGAGAGAGTTCAGGAATTAGCCAGTAATGTTTTGTATAAGTCAATAAAATCTTCTTTGTTCCTGTTACAGTTTAAAGTGTGCACAGTGGACAGGAAGGTTAGTGAGATGAAGTCAGGCACTGAGACGAGTCAAACCTGTAATGCAAGCTCAGAGGTCAGAGTCATCATCTCATATCAGGGCAGTGACGTTGTATGTCGTGCCAAACATCTACGTGTCTAAATAGAACAATTGTAGCGCCTGACCTGTGCAGGCCTACCTGAAAAAGAGCACAAATTATAGATTCAGACTCTCTCTCTCTTTTGGAGCTGCATCTGACATTGAATTTTACTGTTGATTAATCTGCAGATTAATGTATAAAATGTCTGAAAATGGTGAACAATGGCCCTCAAGTTCCCATAGCCAAGTGTGATCCATTCAGTTTGCTTATTTTATCTGATCAGATCAAAATCTTTACTCAATTTACTGTCATACAAAACAAAGACAAAGAAATATTTGCATTATAAAAGGTCAAATCATTGATTTGTATGTCATTTCTACTAAAATAAAAACAACAACAAATGATTGATTAGCAGAATTGGTGCAGAATATTTTTGTTTGTTTATTCATTTAATCGTCATAGTTCAAGTACCTTGTCCTTCTAGATACTGTTTTAGTTGAAAAGAAAATCACTGTTTCCGTGAAGTGAGCTTGTAGGAGATCAGATGTGTTGACTGCAGATTCAGGTCAACATGAGTTCAGAAGACATCACGCAGGCCCTGCCATTATGAGAAAAATGAAAGTTATAATAAACATTTCTGTGTGTGTTGAAGTTGGTCTTTGTGTCCGGTAGTTTTTACATCACAGGTGAAGGCACCACAACACAGTCCTCCTTTGAAAGAGTTTTGTTTTTAAGCACGATGAAACGGTGACAGCAGCAGGAAAGACCATCTCTTCTTTGTTCAAGTGCAACTGCTCAGTGTGTTTCCTGTCTCTGTGTCAGCTTCCTCTGTTCTTCCTCTGGTGTTCCTGTTCTCTCTGCTCTTCTCTTTCCTCCCCACCTGCCCCCCTCCCCCAATGTGTTTAATAATTGCTACTTCTAACCATGCTCCACCTCCTCGCCCGCCCACACACAAACCCCGCCCGGTGTGTTTGTTTTTCTGTATGTATGTTGTGCTCGTGTGTATTTTTGTGATTGTGTCATTGTTGCTCATGTTTGTGGGCGTGTTTGTTTGTCTGTACGTATGTGTGTGTCGGGCGGGTTATTCCTTCTCTTCCTCCCCTCCTCCCCCTCAGCCTAAACACTCCGGGCTCCCGCGCCTCCACCGCCTCGGCCGCTGCCGTCCTCTCCTCCTCCTCCTCCTCCTCCTCTTCCTCGCGTCCCCGCCACCACAAGTCCCTGTCCTCCTCCAATCATCCATGCCCCTCTGACCTGCACGCACCACGGCCCAGGCAAGTCTCTCACTCTCTCTCTCTTTCTCTCACCCACACACACTCAGGCAGACATGGCCTCACAGCTCCATCAGCTCCTTACAGCACCTTCAACTTTACTCAGCACAGATCATCATCCTTCCTGCAATAGACAAAGAGGAAAGAAGAGAGATGAATAATGGATAAAGTGATTTGTTGGCTCTAAAACAGTCCATCACTGCTAGATTAAAAAGAGAATGCCAGTTTTTAAACTTTATTTTTTTCACACTAATCCTAACAACTAGCAGGAAACCGTTTAGCCCCAGATTGTGTAACCAATCAAAGACATGGATCTTCTTCCCAGTGGGTGTTTTATTTTACACAAACTGCCCTGCTTGCCAACATCCACCTCACACACACTAACTTGAACAACGTCTGTATCTCATTTATTTTCAAATGTTTTATGCCGTTTGGTTTGCATTTGTCTTTTAATCAGCTTAAGTTAAAATTCAGCGAGAAAGTAAAAAGGACAACACATTCAACAGATTAATAAGTTTCCAAAGTTGACAATTTATTGAACCTGCCAAAATTTTGTTTTTAGTGATGGGTACACTGTGTACAGTTGTAGAAGCACAAGCAGTTCAAGTTGTTTGTTGTGGAACTGTGCACCTCACATTTGCCCAGCGGATTGTAACTGAACAGTCAGAACATGAGAACAAGATGAGCAGGTTTTTCAATGTTCTCTTCTTCTGATGGACCAGAGGTGTTTTTGTACTTGTTTTGTTTCCTAGCAGGGGGCGAAAAACATTCAGAGAAGAGACGTTATGAACCAGCAGGGATTAGGTTTCTATGCACAGCTTACAAACTGTGCTCTAGCCCTTTATATACAGGCTTTGTTATTGGCTGATTTGATAATGAGCTGCACTGTGTGCCTCCCTCTTACAGTAGGTCAGAGGACTAAAATAAGTGAAACAAGTTGAACGAGCTGGCGTTTCCTGGAGACTGTAGAGAAGTGCTGTATACTGTTGTTTTAGACATTTTCTTTCATTTAAGGCAGGACTCAGATTATATGATTGAAGGCTTTGACATATCAGTATCTCACCCCTGAATATTTATAGTTCATATTGTTTTATTGCTAAAAAGGAAAATAAATTATCTTTTGCTAAATATGCAGAAATGGCCCTGTAGTCTAGCTTCCAAGCTACTAGGTCGGGGCATAATATAAACAGACTTGATCTCTATCTGCTGTATAATTTTGGGGATTTAAAGTGTTATAATCATAAATTACATAAACCATAAAAATTCCCAAAAAAGTTGTGACGAAAAGTGATATTGAAGGAAAGAAAGCACTTTATTCAGCATCTGAAATGACCAACAAAAGGTCATATCTGTGGAGATATGTGAATTTAGTTAACGTGTTAACTTGCCTCTGAGTCGACCTGTGATGGTAAGCTGTGGCTAGAAACTGTTTAATGTCCTGTGTGTTTTAGGCCACTGAACAGCTGCTGCATGCCCTTCATAGATATTTTGCTCTGCATTTGGTTTTCTGCTATAATGTGATTGTTGACAACAGGGTTTTTCCTGGCTTGAAGTGAATTTCAGTGTGTGTACAGGAAGTAGGGTCTCTCTTAAGGTTTCCACAGCCTCTATTTTTGTTCCATTTCATTGACTCCCCAGTCTCCCATGTAAACCATGAAGCTGCCTAGGAAAACCCCTTCATCTCTTACATCTTACTAACAGTGTATTTGACCACTAGTATGTGCACTTGCAACTTTTTGTGTTTTGAGTGCACATCCTGAGTCCTGCTGCAGTCTTCCACGGTGATTTGCCCTTGTGTACTAATTACTTAATCTATTCCACTCATTTGCCTGTCTTGTCTTACACTGTGTGTGCCTTGTGTTTGTGCTTTTGCTATATCTGTTTGTTGTTTTTGCCATCTGCTGCAGGTGTACTGCTGCAACGCAGTGTCATGGAAGATAGACGTGCTTACAAAGCAAATGCAAGCTTTTAACTCCATAAATAATTACTGTGCAAATGTCCATGTGTCTTTGTCTTTGTGCGCGAGAAAGCGTGAGGGTTGCGATGCTTGGCCTTATGGCCTACACTAAGAGGATTAATTGTGTGTGTGTCACTGACCTGATGTGGCCCTAAACACTTTAGGGATTATATGAAACATCAGCGCAAGCAGACAGTGAACAGACATAGATTCATGTAGGATTTTACAGTGAGGTAAGTAGAACTTTAGAGGGAAGCAGATTTCTTCATCTGTTGATTGTCTAACTGTGTGTTTCTTTCTCACACCCTCCTCTTCACTCCCATCCCCTCTTAAACCCCATTTTGTTAATCTACCTCTTGTGGTCTTTCCCCTTTTCATCCTCCTGCTTTCTTATTTCTTGCTTTCTCTTGTCTCCGTCACCCTGAATTCTTCTTCATTTGCACCTTCTCTTTTATCACACTTTCCAACCTCTTATCCTTCAATCTTTTCACACCTCTTTCTTCTTCTCCACATCTACCTTCCCATCCTCTCACTGGTTCTTTACCATCCCTTCCTTCATTTCCCTCCACTGTCTTCCCAATCTTGTCCATAGCGCCCCACCTCAGCGGGCACCCGGTGCCTCCCCGTCTGCCCACAACATCAGCAGCGCTGCCGTGTCAGACCGTACCAACTTCTCCAGAGGGGTGGGAATTCGCAGCACGTTCCATGCAGGCCAGCAGCGGGTGGCCCGGGACCAGCAGGGCCCCGCATACCCTGGTGGGCCCGCTTCCCCTTCACTGTCACATGGCAACAGCCAGGCCCGGAGGACACACGGCGCCACAGGGATTTTCAGCAAGTTCACATCCAAGTTTGTACGCAGGTGAGTAATGGAATAGAGAAGCGGGAGGATATCGGGAAGGGCAGGTGAGGGCCAAAGAAGAAAGTTTGTAGCTTTATAAATGCAAAGCAGTCATGGTAGCATCTGTTCTATTTATTATCCACCTACTTTGTAGCTTAAGTACAGTTGGAAGCTTTTTCTGAGTATTGAGGTTTCACTTTGAACCAGAAAATGATTGGGTTTATGTTAGAAGGCATTTCATCTGCTGGTTTCTCCTCAGGAATGTGGTACTGTACGTCCATGGCATCTCTGGTTTTCAGAGTATTTTTTTAAAGGGACTGGTCTCATCTCATCCCTGTCACTAAACTCTGCTAAGAGTAGAACAGGAGAGGAAGGGAACAGCTGTGTCTTCTCTGTAATTTTGGAGGAGTAATTCTGGTTGTGGTTCCATGTCTGGCCTAGTTTCCATCTCAGCTCTGGTGGTGCAGGTTGTAGCAGTTCAGTCTACTCTCATGGATACCTGGTCATAATGAAAATTAAAGTTTATAGTTTTTTTTTTGTTTGTTTGTTTTTTTTTTGTAATTGAAGTCAATTTTCTAGTTTTGAACCTGCTGTTTTTGTAAATACAGTTAGCCAAAGAAGTATAAAAGTGTGTGACAAATAGTGATATTTCTTTCTTGCTGATTGTAACTTTTGACAGATATTGGCATTAGTTTGACTTGAAGTTGATACATGTCAGTATACCAACATGAAACATGTTAAATGCCGGTGATTAAAGGACAAAGTTAATGTTCTCCATGTTTTTCTCATTAAAAGAAAAATCATAATAAGGCCAAAATCAACTATGCATTCTTTAGTTTTCCCCACTCCTTCTGTGGTAGGCAGGTAGGTAGAACATCCATCAGCAGGGCACTGCAGTTTTTCACTGACGTTACTCAAATAGGATTAAACTGCATTTTTAGTCGAGAATGAATACGTTTGGTGCTTTGGTGATTGTTTAACACAGTAAAATTGCATATGTTGCAACAGTTGAACTCAGTGGCACAGAGGAATAGACAGATTATTACAAAATAAATAGTCAGTTTTGGTTTTTTTATGCGTTTTATTGACAACAATATAATAGAATAATTCACTCCCTTTAAATTTTGCTGCACTACAACTAAAGTTTAATTTATTACAGATGGACAAGTTGTAGGCAGATTCTTATGAAAGGAGATGAATTATGTCAAGTAACAAGGCCAGAGAAAATGAACTCATTTATTTATGATGTCATTCGTTTAGTCAGTTTTGACCTGAATCCTATGTGAAGTGTGATGAAGTTTGTAGGCGGCTGAGTCAGAATAAGAGAGGACAAGAGCACAGAGCAGACGAGAGGAGAAGCACTGAGGCTGACAGAGATGTGGAGGAGAGAACGTGGGGGTTTGAAGGTGGCAGGAACAAGACTGAAGAGGAAGCTCCAAGTAAGCAATGAAGGAATGAAAAGCTGAAAGAGCAGGTAAAGTCGAGACGTTTGTCCTGCTCGCCCCAGTTTCACCAATGAGCCCTGGAGGTTGCTTTTGAACACAAGTGCTAAACGGTGTAAGAGAAAAGGAGGCTGTGTTTCTGTTTATGTTGATTACTTAAAAAAAGACAGGAATTGAGAAAGTTAAATTAGCCAGACCCGACTGCTTGGGTGTTGGTGTAGAGCTGATAGTGTGTGTGTGTGTGTGTGTGTAAAGGCGGAGGTACAGGCACAGAGACTCTCCAGGCCTCCCACTCAGAGATACTGTAGCTCCGTGGCGACAGTATCCATGGTTACACCGGAGATATCACTTTTCCCTCAACTATAAATACCACTAGTGGGGACACCTTGAGATATATACACACACACACAACTTGGCATGCTAATAGGGAGTAGAGGTAGTGGAGACAGAGAGATTAAGTTGCATTTGTACAGTTTGACCAAGCACACACATCCACTCGCTGTGTTTTATTAACATATCAGATAACCTCACCACTGCACTTTGCTGCTTGCTCCGAAGAGTGATGTTTCTTTGTCCTTCAGATATGTGGATGTGTGTGCGCACGTGTGTATGTATGGAGGAGAATGTCTCTTAATGTGTGTTAAAGATTATGTTGTTGCATAACCTGTGTTTTCCCATTTGAAATGTGTCTGTGTGTGTAGGAGGTGGTTTTCTCTCTTTCTTGTTTGAATTTTTTTTTATCCCGTTTGAACTTCTCACTTCACAGGCGTTTCTTTTCAGGATCACCCAGGACTCGTCTGTAATTGGAGGAACACTTCATTTCCTGTTGGGCGAGAAGGGGTGGGGGTGACTGTTAAGACTTTAACCAGTAGAGCCCATTAAATCCCTCAAAGGTGTCGCTGGTGTGCATTTAATAATGTCTGATCACACCTAGAGTTCCCGCATTTAAAACACATTCGGGCTGAAAGTTGGTGGCAGGAACACTGGTTTTCTTTTTTGTTGTTCATTTTTATTGCTTTGTGCTTGCTGCTTCAGTCCAAAGTGAGTCTGGTTCATGTTGGACTTTTGTTTCTGAGAGTTTGCTTTAAAGTTTGCTACTCAAGGGGCAGCTTGTCTTATGCAAGAAAGTCATAAATATATGTTTTATACATGCGTTTTTTTCTCTTTCTTTATCCCTCTTTTGTTTTTGTAGAAATCTCTCGTTCAGGTTTCCAAGAAGGTAGGCAACATCCCCAACGTTAAATATAACCCCTTGATATATACACACACGTATATTCTCTTCTTTATATATATTTCAATATATATATATATATATATTTTCTCCCCCTTTGGTGTTTCATGCGGCTTTGTTGAAATCTTCCTTTTGTGCCTTGAGCCTTATCTTCTCTCCTGTTTTTTTTTTTTCCTCCTCTGGCTGACCCCTTTTTTGAGCCTTCTGGTTTTGAATGTCGTGTTTTGGCCCATTTTCAGTTTTTTATTTATTTATTTTTGTACTAACTTCCCTCTCACCCAGCCACCCACAGATTTAACTCACTCACATAATCATGTGGCATAATAACACCTCAACCCTCTTCGTCCCTCCACCGTCCTTCCCACTCACCTCTTCTTCATCCTCGCCCCCACATTTCTATTTATTTACCAGGTAGTGTGTGTGTGAGCTTGTATATTCCCCTGTAGCATCCAGGATTTAGGTCAAGTCTTAATGGTGCAATAAATCAAGCTACTTCCTTCCTGCTCTTAACCCTTTTGCTTTCTTAGCTTCAGTTGCAGGTAGCATTGTCCTTCTATTGAGCCTCTATATTTTTAAAAAGTGGTGATGTAATGGTAAAAAAAAGCTATTCAATTGACCAAAGTCATTTAAAGCTTAAAGAAGCACCACCATCAGAGATTTCAGTTTTTTAAGTTACGATCAGCCGTGTTCACCTTAGTCTAGCTGTGTTGCTAACCATTCATGCTAACCTACCAAACCCTCCACACTGTCACCCATCTCACCTTTCTGCTCTCATCAGTGTGGTCATTGTGGCTAAGGAAAGCTCAGTTACAGAGAGTGAGGTTGTATTTGTAGTTTTAGGTGTAAGTTTCTGTAGATCTCTTTGGGGAGCTAGCGTGTAAGAACAAGTCCCTTGCTGTAGTTGAGGACGGAGGTAGAGAGGAGGAGAGGACCCAGGAGGGACGAGGCTGCAGCGTTTCTCAGGCTGCACTCTTTTCCAGAGGCTGCACTCTTCCTTTCTTTCATCACTCTCTTCTCACTCTGGCACTGGCTGTCTAACAGCAGCAGCAACAGAACTGGATGGCTTTGACCCACTCTGCCTGGAAAAGACTTTTACACCGTCAACACACACACACAGAGAATGACACTCCATGCACACAGACACATATGTGCACTTATACACCCAGACATTTACATACATACATACATACATACACACACAGTTCGTCTCTATGCTCATGTAGATATTCCCACTATGTGAGGTTGCTAAACACATTTCACATTTATATATGTGCATGCTGAACACACATTTCACAGCCACGTTTGTGTCACACACACACTTGGTGTTGAGTCTGTTGACTGCTTTTTACCAGCTGGTCAGGCAATTTCCTTTAATCTGGAGCATTGCACCACCTGGTGGTGAGAAGCTGTAATGCTGACTTGATTCAGTTTATCAAGTAAAAATGCCATTAGGCTTTTTAAGGATTCTCATTAATCAATAAAGTTAAAATACTAGAGAGAGAAAAATATTCTGGGGCTAATAGGCTATTGTACCTTTAAGCAAAAAGGATCAATTGTAGTTGCACATGATTACAGTGCACCATATGTATAAGTGATATATATTTGGACTCCAGTAATCATCATATCAGTGTTTTGTTTTTCCTTGACATCATAGTGCTCCTCCTCTGCCATTTTTGCATGCTCAGTTGTGCTTTAGCGAAACACAAATGGATGCAAAATGGCAAAGGATTGTTCACAAATTTATCTCTGTTTGTATTATTTTTAAAAAAACTTGTGTAACCTCTCCATTTCTCTGACTTGTCATCTCCCATGTCCTATAATTTTTAACCATGTTTCTGTTGCAGGAGGCATTTTACATGATGTTTTTGGTTATTTTGTTTAATGGGGCAAATCAGGAATGATGTCTTTTCCCTCAACAGAATGAATTTAAGATCACAAATCTGTTGTGTGTGTCACTTTCCTCCCATTGTCTGCATGTGTTTTGCTGTTGTCGGTCTTTGTTTTTTATTGCTGTCTGCTTTTCTCCCTTCAGTTTGTTTTTCCATGTCATGTCTGTTGATATGTGAGAGAAAATGTCTTATACATACAGATGATAAAGTGTTGTTTTCAGGGAATGTGTGTGCATTATAAACAGCCTGTGTGTAGGTCCAGTGTTACTAATACAGGTTTTAATGCAGTGCTGGGATCATTAACCCTCCTAACCTCCTGTAGCCACAGGACTTGCCCTCATCATGCCGACCATTCTGTTCCAAACCATTCCATCCTGGCCCAAAACATTCCACATCATATTTTGTTCCTCATTTCATTCCAAGCCATTCCATTCTGCTCCACAGTGTTGGGCCTACTTTAATTTTGTCCTAAACTGAATATATTATATTGAGCTACCTAGTTTTTGTCCAAAGTTTGTTTAATTTGGACCAGCTCATTTTGCATAGTGCTCCAGACCAGCTCCATATCAATTCAGGCCATTCCATTTCACCCGTTATCTTTTTCTGATCCATACTGGAGCTGAATGCACCAGCTCTTTGCAAGTTCCAACTTGCCCTAGTTGCTAGTTGTGTGTTTGCTGTTGCTAGATCAAACATGTTTGTTTCACACATAGAGATGGCCTGATACAAAACAGGTTAACAGGCAGGTGTAGCTGTTGTGTAGCTTGCAGAACAAACTGACAGATCTAATTTATGACCTGTTTCGTTTATATTTTAAATTGCTTTTCACACAACAGAGTCGTGTCCTGTACCTTAAACTGCATAATCAGTTCCCCCTTCACTCTCAACAACCTTAATACTACTAACTACATTTGAAAGGAATAACAGTTGTTTATTCTTGAGCCCCATAAAACAGTTTTGGGAGGTATGGCTTGTGGTGCTGCAGCGTCTTCCTGATTACATAATTAACTTTTTGATTTGATGGCACTACATGTTTCCTTGTTAATGTTTAATACAGTAGTGCATGTTAGTTGACTTTTTAATAGCGCAACCCAATTTACAAAGTCATGAAGCTGAAATTCACTAAATCTGAAACCAGTCAAACTATCTGTCTGAATCTCGTCGCTAAGAAGAAAACGGTTTTAACATAAAAGTAGGAATGAGTTCATGAATAGCAGCTGCATCTTAGTCCTGTTCTTCACTTATCTTTCCAACTGACCAGTCAAGACGTCTGCTCAGTGGGAGAGCTCGGGTAACGTGGTTGCACAGAGCAAACTGGCTTTGGTATCTGGAGCACAGCAGTGCATTATGGGTTGTGAGGTCCTCGAGTGTCACTGGACTTTCAGCATTTAGAGTGGAATTATATATTTGCCAACAATGTTCAGTGTGGTTGGATTGGAGCATTCAGGCAGGCATGGCGAGTGTCACTGTGTTCAGCCAGTTGATTTGCTGTCTGTTTGAGTCATATGTTGGCCCTAGCCCTCAAAAAAAGACTAAACTTGTTGATTTTTTTCGAGGAGTCCGTATGAGGGAGAGGGTCGAGATGAGGGGAGCAGGTGAGATACAGAACAGCCTGAAAAACCCAAAAACCCTACAGACCCTGAGAGTTTACCAAATCTGCCTGCTGATCAATAGACTAGAGCCAATCAGTATTGGGGGGGTGAGCTGGGATGTAATTGGCTGGTGATGGTGGTAGCTGTTTAACCAATCAAGGGACGGGAGTTTAGCATGAATGGTAGCATCCCAGAGAGTGAGAGTGATGGTGTGGAGGTTGACCTGCATGGTGGTGTGTGTGTGTGAGCGGAAACCAGAATCCAAGTACCCAAATGTGTGTTTGCGTGCAAGTAAACATGAAACTCACAAACACAGCCTCAGATATAAACCCACACACCTTTGTGATCTGAGACGTGAACACACAAGCACTCACAGGGGTACTTAAAAAAATTTTATTCTTGTTTTGATTCATTTCCACAATCTCATCATCTCCCTCTTCCTCTCAATCCGTCCTCTCCTCTCCTCCCACCTTGTTTGTCTCTGCTTTTTAAAATAATTCTCACACTTCTCCTTTTTGTCTGTTCGTTCATTTCTCCCTCCCTCTCCTGTATCTCCCCACCTCTCCTCTCGCTCTCATTCTCTCTTCCTTCTTTCATCTGTTTCATCTGTCCTTTCTTCCTCTCCTCCTCCACCCTCCCATTCTTCCACCCAGGTCCATGCTGAGCAGTACAGTGGACAAGTCCGAGAAGACGTCAGGTGGTGTTCTCTCCTCCTCGTCCAACAACGACGAGAACAACTCCTCGCCAGGATCTGGTAACACTGGTAGGCCTCGTTTTGTTCTTGCTTTTTTACTTTTATAGAATAAATACAAGTCACTTGCAGTATTTCATTAACACTTTTTTACAACCAACAATGCCGACTTTATTCTATTTAAAAGTGTTTCTAATGAGACATTCAGGCTACGTGCTAAAATGTCTCTAATCCAGAAACACCGCCGCAAACCACAACCTCAGTAACAAACAGGAAAAGTCAGTAGTAGTAATGGTGTCAGTAAAGCCAAACAATTTTCTTTGTAAAGTTAGTGGCCACCGAGTTTTTAATAAAATCACTAAAGGACCATGACTAACAATAACATTGAAAAATAAAATAAAGAAACAAAAGGAAAAGGGGGCCAAGTACAGATCCTTGAGGCACTTCATCTTCCAGCTTAGTTGATTCACAAAGTAAATGAATACAAGCTAGTTGACAACAATTTTCTTGAGTTATTTAGTCTTTAATCAGCTCTAGATTACAAAGCAATTCCTGACTTCCAGATTTTAATGTGCAGATTTGCAGCTTGTCTGTTTAATGTCACAGTAAATTTATCATTTGGGGTTTTGAGCAGTTGGTAGAACAAAGCTTCAACTCCAGGAAATTATGATCAGCATTTTTTTACCATTTTATAGACTAAATTATTAATAGATCACTATTGACAACATGAAGCTTGTGTTACAGCCAGACTCCTGATCTCTGCTTTAGTTTTTTTTGTTTTGGTTTTTCTTCATTTTTTTAAAAGTCAATGTAAGCCTTCAAGGAGCGTTGTACTGAATCTTTAAATCAGTTTGATAATGACAACTTTAATTAGTTGCTGCCCCAGTGCCCTGAAATGTCACTGAGGGTTTCAGGGGATGCTAATCAGTTCTTATTCAGTGTTGTCTTAATGGGTTTTATATTTCAGAATATCGCAACTATTTCCTGTCTGCTTCATTTTTCATTCTGTTTGCTCCATTCTTCTGGTCTCCCTCTGCACTTCATACAGTTTTTCAACCCTCCCTCTTTTCTTCTTTGCCCTCCTCCAGGTGGCACTGGTACCCCTCCAGCCATCGCCAGCCAGAAGGACTCGGCCAAGCCGCGCTCACTGCGCTTCACCTGGTCCATGAAGACCACTTCGTCCATGGAGCCCATGGAGATGATGCGCGAGATCCGTAAAGTGCTTGATTCCAACAGCTGCGAGTATGAGTTGCGTGAGCGCTACATGCTACTGTGCGTGTCGGGAAACCCGGCACGTGACGACTTTGTTCAGTGGGAGATGGAGGTGTGCAAGCTGCCTCGGCTCTCCCTAAACGGCGTGCGCTTCAAGCGGATCTCGGGCACGTCCATCGCTTTCAAGAACATTGCCTCAAAGATTGCCAATGAGCTCAAACTCTGAGTGCAGAGATGCAGCGAGGAGAGTTGAGATTAAAGGTGGCAATGGGAGGGTGGAGGGTGGAGGGGGAGAAAGCAAGGATGAAAATGGCATTGTAGGCAGGGTGGGGGTGCTGTGGAGGTCAGAAGGTAAGCCAAAGGGTGGGATCATTTTAAAAAGAACATGATTGTTATCTGGACAAAGCAGGGCTACCACTTCTCTGTGACCAGAAAATGTTCCTTTTCTAGATGTTTGGTTTGCTAAGTTCTCGAGGCCCTGCGATTAGAAACTCTGAGCTGATTTCCTCTGAGTTGTGAAGTACTTACAGACCGAGGTCTCCTCTCTCCCGCCTGGGTTTCTTTTGTCATGTTCTGCTTAGACGTTCCACTCTTCTGCATGTCCAGTCTGCTCTCTGTTTTTTAACAAGTCACACTTCGATCACATTGACCACTCCTGTCACATCTTACTGCTATTTATTAGTTTCTCTGCACAGATCTGCTGCCAGGTATTTCTGGGTAAGGGGGGAACCAGGTGAAAATGGGAGCTGCCTGGAGGACTGACAGAGCAGAGGAATTGCTGAAACAAACATTCTGCTTTCTCTCTGAACATCTGAACGATTGACAGAAAATATGAAACCTTATTTTGCTGAAAAACTCAAAGGAGGTTGGCTTGAATTGGTTCAGATTGTGCTCCACAGCTGAACGGACTCCAACTGAGCCAGGACTTTGGCTGCTAAAGCCCACCGTCACACACAAACACACCTCCAGATGGATTTTGGATGGCTGAACTCGTACTGTCATTGGTGAAAGGACCCTGCCCACCCAAAGACCTCCCCTCTCGCCCTGAAACAAACTTCTAAAAATCCACTTGATCCATTCTCACTCACACAGTCACTCATCACTCCTCCCTCTTCCTCTAATGTCAAACTGAACTCAACACAAACACTTCCATCTTCTCACCTCTCCACTCCCATTATCTTCCTCAGTTTTGATTTCTCTTTCACCATCAAGCCTGAGGAGCCAGCTGATGTCGCCATCGATTTTACGGCCTGTGTCTTTAAGTCTGTACTTCTTATTTTATTTTTTAACTTAGTTTGTTTTATTGCTTTTACAAAGAGTTGTGCACTGGAAAAGTGGGGCATATTGGAACCTGGAGAGGGAAGGACAGTCTATGGACAAGGTAGTTGATGGATTTTATGTTGCCTTTGTTTGAAAATAAATTTAAAATTTGTTTTATTATATATGTCAGCACATAAATGCTCAAATGAGTCATTTGTAATAATGTTTTTGTAAGTTGGTATCCCCTCAGTTGGCACTGCACTTTCTTATCCAGAATGTCAGTGTTGTACCAACACATTTCTCCTCCACCTCTGATACACGTTCCCAAAGAGCAAACACACAACAAACGTGTGGTTTGAGTATGTTTGTGCGTGCGAGTGTATTATAAAAGATCACTGGGGGGGAGAGAATCAACGACACGACAAATGAATTCTTCTCTGCAGTGTTGTCGGTTTGTACAGATGTTTTTCAGAAACGGGGTGTGAAGGGTCATGTTGGGCCATATCATTGCTGCCTTTTCAGTGTACTGCACCTTTAATACATTTAACACCCCCCACACAGTTCTTAGTGTATCAGATGAAACACCCCACCCCCCTGCCCAAATACAGGAGTCACTGATGTATTTAATGATGTTGATGGTGGTGAGAACTACTGCTTATTTCTGGCCATTTTCCTTTTTTCATGTTTTTATTTTTTTATTTTTTTGTTTGTTTGTTTTGTTTTTCATTGGCCTTAGTGGTCCACAGTGGCTTGAAGCAGAGAGAGAAAGCAGGACAGACTTTTTATGGTGTTCTCAGATCAGAGCTCATGTTCAACACCACAAACCAGAAGAAGTTGCTTCTTTTTCTCTTTCTCTGCATTTGATGTTCCAGTGTCTTGAAGCTGAAGAAAAACACACACACACACACACACACACACACACACACACACACACACGGGGTGAGAGAA